CTGCAACACTTTGTTATAATCATAATCACGACTCTGATGGCGTTTCAAGTCTGATGGACTTTCCAAAACGACCATTCACAAAGTAGAGTTGCATCACCTCACCATTTCGGATTCCTCAAAACCACTGGCCAGCCTTCATCGTTGCACCAGTTCGCTCATCAACGATCCATATCACATGCGGAACCCTCCCTTGAGCTCGGCACCAAAACAACCAATCTGGGAATTCAACATGACTTGTCTCCATGGCAGGGAGCCAGGAGCTTTGACCAAAATCGTAAGCATCAGCGAATTGCGAGCTATCCGAAATGCCGGGTCTCTCCAGTGTTCGTCATCTTCTAATTGACTTTGGGCGAATATGATTAGAAAGATCTCGCAGTTATCTCGCGTGACTTTTTCGTCTTGATCATCACTTCTGCTTCGTGCACACATATCCCAACTTAGGAGCCATCGCTGGGCGTCCAGATCGTGACTACGAACGAACCCTGTCGAGTCTCTGAAGAATGCCTCGAATCAGTGGCTAGACAGTGCGCTTGGACTTCACCAAAGAAACTTTTGAATGGGCTAGTACAGATTATCTCGCGTATCACTGGTCATTCCAGCCCCAGTGACATGCCATCGGCGATGGATGACCGGTCCAGTCGCCCTTGCAACCTACAATTCGTGATTATATACGAACTACGGAGTGCGGATACAAAGTACAGATATGGGCAGACACGGTTTCCTTGGCCATCTCGAATTCCACAGATTGCAAGCTTTCTCCCTCTCCACGCACAAGCGGTAGCAAATCTCCATATCAAGCCGTCCTGGCCGAACGAGGAGCTACCCTGCATAGGGCCAGGCGAGCTACATTGAACTTCATGTCATGACGCGAGCCTGCATAGGATTTGCCCGAACAATGCCTAGCTGGCGAGGCTCTGAGGGAGCAATCTAGGAAATTCAAGGCATTTTACGCAACTGAACACGACTTTGCGGATACAAATGCAAACACGGATATCGGACTTAACTACCTATCCTAACATGGCAAAGATCAGTCGGGCACTTGTTTCGAAGGAGAGTCAGACACCTTTGCCTTTGGGGGCGCAAGATATGCACACCTGGTTTCCCTTGCTAGACGATCAACCATGGGCTTTAATCGGCGACGAATCCGAAGCTCCTGGAAGCAACGTCCTCCAGGACAAGGGTATGTTGGAGAGCTTCCTCGGGGACACCTGCATCCACGCGAGGCGTCAACCCGATTCTTGACCGACCGAAGAACGTTCATAGCCGATGCCGTTGCCCCGTGCTAGCGGAGGCGTCGGTAGCGCGCAGCTCGTACACAGCAATTACAACATTTCGAGATGAAATCGGCCGGTTCGTTATCGTTCCTCGCTTCACCACGGAAACGGTATATGAGGTCTGCCCAAAGTTCGAATGCCGTTTCCCAGGTGCGGGTGCCGAGCGCACGAACGATCGGCGCCTGATTCAAATCGCATTCAGCCTTGAGACTCCAGCCACCTTCCTTTTGGTAGAACGGACATCCGCTTCAGAAATTGATAGCCGTCACCAACCCTTGACATTTACCTAGCCAACAAGCCAGTGCTTTTCGAGGGCTCTACCGGTGACACGCATGCATTCATCCTGGATTTCTACGCACTACAGGCATGTCACTTGGCACCGAGCTCAGGTGCAAAAAGCATGTGCGTCGACTTCTTGAAAAGCGTTGGCAATAGGCCCTCGTACAACTGCCAGGACATCTCGCCTTTCCGACAGAAATGCTCTTGAATGCCTTGTTCTGGTCGCACACAAATACGCTGTCTCGGGTTCCGTGTAGGAACGAACAGATACCATGCCATTCGCCATGGGCCACAGGCTAGTCACGAGACAAAGTCTGTCCGTTGACGTCGAATTCTGGTCCCCTGGTCCCTACTTACTCCACAAGAGTTACGAACTGGTCTGAGTCCTCCGAGACTGCCCTCAGCAACCCCTCAGCAACCTGCTTTCCGGCTTTGCTCGTCCTACAGAATATGAGCCATTGTTTTAGCTGCCAGTCTCCGATCGTCAATACCTACGTCCCTCCAGTCCTTCGATCTTGCCTATCCGTCAGCATCACGCAGGATTGAACACCTTTTGCCCCCTCGGTCCGTGATGGATTTCTCCAGGGCCCGAATCCTGCAACAAAGACAAGCTGCATCCCCGTCGCGTCCCCACAGACGGGGCACCGGATGCGCCGACCGGCCTGCCTATTCCGGGTCTTGAAGGAGGGTGTCAGCCGGGTCTGCAGCGCTATTGTGTAGCCAATGCCGGGGTCATCGCCTAGGCGAATTTGCCTCGGCGGCTGCAAGAAGCAATCAGCGGGCCCAGAGCACGTCTGAAGCACCGAGGATTGCGGGTGCTAGAGCAGCTGAATGACCTCGAAAGGGCACAAGATTCGCGGTTGACGGCTTCATTATGGTTCAGCTCTTGGACGCTAGCCAACAAACCGCGCAACCCCTCATCGCACTGTCGACTGCTTGTTGTCAGCAAGGCCATCGTCTCGAAACACAAACACGGCCTCTCGTGAGGTCTTATCTTGTTTCCTCATCCGTGGCAAGTCAATCACCACTCGTTCATCGAACGAGCCATATTCCGGTGCACGGGGCTGAGACATTCTGATGCTATACCGCACAGACCAAAGGGCAATGGAACATTGCTCGGATTTGTATGCTAGAGATGGCTACCACAGGCGTCGCTTGAGACTAGGGGCATCACGGTGATATCAGCGCTGCGCAACCGAGACATCGGCGTCGGTATCCATCGAAATGGCAATGTTGACGAACATCCCTACGGAGTGATATCGATCGTTCTGTAGCCTGTGAGGCTGTGGACGTGTCATGTCAATGCCGTTGCAAACATCACAACTTTGCTATCTCTGGGTCCGAGAGACACTCACACTAGCACATGCTTCAATTGCAAGCAGGCAGTTTGATTACTTGTGTCTGCCAGTTGTTCAATATTCCCAGGGGTCTCCCCTCGAGATCTCGGATGGAAATTGGAACTAGGTCAAAAAGCCCATTCCATTCCTCGCCCAAGTTGCACACCAACCACACGCTAACTTGGCGACGAACACCCTCCCACAGGGCCACAGGAGAGAAAGGATTCAGGAGGGAGCACCAAGAGAACAACAAAACCACTTTACGCGTTCCCTCCAAATTACCACGCGACACGGCTCCCACCAGCCGACTAGGCGGCCCCCTTGGACAGACGCCAGACGGGGCCCTGAGCTGGAATTGGCAGATTTGCACTCTCGCATCTGCAAGCCACCTCGCATCGCCTGGCTCCCCCACCGTAAGCCTGCACGCAAAACAAGATTTCGCGCGAACAGCATGCCTAGTTGTTTGGGAAATACGGCCATAGGGACGGGTGCAAAGTGCATTGTCCAAGGCGGCCCATTGGCCAGAACCACCCCCAGACATACGAATAGCTCAAATCGCGTCAATCCCTCGCACGACTTACAATCTCCTGCGTCTAGGGCCCTGGGGAAAAAGACTCCGCTCTAATTCTCCGATTGCGCGATACTTTGGATGGCCGGGTCTCGGCGAGTGAGATCCCCAGTCCTTCTCAGGCGTTGTGCCTGTACCAAAAGACGTTTTTCCTCAGTTGCTGATATTGGGGAAATTGGGCGGAGGTGACAGGAGTAGGTGGATTGGAGCCTGTCAGGCTTACTAAGTCATTGTTCGATTTCGGTGATCACCAGACTGGGGAACGACTCAGGAGCGCAAGGCGGGCGATTCGTATTTGACCAACAAGCTCGAGTGGGCTTTGTTGGAGGGGGTGCCGCCTTCCAATTCGGCCGTTGCTGGCCCCGGCAGATCGCGATGGGCAGGCCGCAGAGGCATTGATATTCCCATGTCGAGCCCAGCCCACAGCGAAAAGAGAATCATCGGACTCGAATCGGGCTGTCATCTCCGTTCCCCCTACTGTCGCTCTATACTAGGAATCCGTTCCGAACAGCCACCCGCACGCGCGAGCAAGAGGCCTAAGGCAGAGTTGGTCGGCCCAAAAAGCAAGTGCTTCTTTGTTAATGCAAGGAGACATGGCAAAAGGATGTTTTCACTGCTCACTGCTTTTGTTTGTTGGTGGGTTGTGGATATGATCGATGCTATTGATAGCAAAAGTATCACGAAGCGAGTGCTAGTTGATCACCTCCTACTCTATATCCCTGGAATAGGCCGCTTCCCCCTATGATTTCTGAGTTTCTGACCGCCTTGCGAATATCCGGACCTCATTTTCCTGCCTTATATCGATAGACTCTGTCTCCTGCATTGCGTTTCCACTTGTTCATGACACGGATTCATTGTCATCCCATGTGCCCATGCAGCGAGAAGGGCCAGGCGAGATGACGGAATACCTATTCGGGGGCCCTTGAGGGCGGATGCTGCCGAGATTTGCATGCGGAAGTATCAGGGGGGTTCAAAAATGCTTTAAGGTAATGATTCGCGGACCCCTTACTGACAGCTTCACCGCTGGTTGATGTTGACGACCGTGAAGCCGATGTTTGCGAGAGCAAAGGCTGGTTCTGGATATCAGGACAAACCTGAAGTTAGCGTAATATTTGGCCACCATTGTGGGCAGAAGCTGGTATCCTTTGGCCCCTGACATATTTGGCTCTCAAGAGACAGTTCCCACGAGATATTCATTTTCATCGTGCCTGAAGAAGTAGAGAACTCATCGGATACCCTTAGAGACGTAGAGCAGCAGGACTCACTGCGCACCATTGTCACGATTTCACAAGTCTGCATTTCTGTCACGTCACACTCAGTTGTAACTATACCTTTAGATCAACCTCGTTGAGAAGACGATAGCGATCCTACGGCGAGGGAAATATCGTGTTACGGCAGATAGATGCTATCACTTTCATGATTTCAATTGTCAAACTCTTCAGAAAACTGCATAAGCATCTACTCGAATAATCTAATCTTCTTAAGTCGCTTCTCTCGCTGCGAATCCAGTAACCTAGGCTCAATGACATGCTTCAACCTCACGCCATTCTTATCCGTAACCGTAACTTCACTCCGTCCCTTCCATCTCTTCTCCTCAACGTCAACCAAGGAAGCCCGTTGTTCCCCATACCCAGAGACCGCTTCTTCATGCGCCATGTGCAGCAAGGCAGGCCTCCCGTCGTCATCTCCGCAGGCCGTCTTCCACGTCTCCCGTGGATGTCCGGGGTCACACACCGTCCCCGTACCCGGTGCCCACCGCATCTGTCCCGGCATCCGATGCGCGCCCAAAACATCGCGCCGGTCCTCACCCATCCAAATCGTCCGGAGCCCAGGCGTGCTCTGCATATAACATACCTTGAACGGCAAAAGCCCAGAAAGCCGACCGTAATCACGGCCCTCAGCGATATCAATCAAACTCGTCGCCTTTTCAAGAAACGTCGTCTTGCCCTCCGCCGTCGTCTTGGCAATAGCGTCGGTGCCCCCGCCAGGCGACGAGAACGAATCACTTCCGGCCTTGGGTGAATTACGCACCATGACCAACGTGATGCCGCCGAGCATAAGCTCCTCCGCTGGCCAGACGGGCGACGAAGCTGAGACGAGGGGCTCGCATGTTGCTGTGTCTACTACGGCGACTTCCATCTCGTACAGCCAGATGGCCATCTTGTCCGAGGCCGTCTCGACTGCGATGCGGGATACAGCGGCGTAAGAGGCGCGGTGGATGCCTAGGGCGCGGGCGTCGCGGTTGTAGAGCATCGGGAGTGTCGAGCCGCTGTCGAGGAGGGTGCGGAAGTGGAGGGTTGGCGCGGAGGAGTCGCGGGCCATGTGTGGGTGTCGCGAGGGGCGGTTCTTGCGGAGGCTGGATGGCGGTTTTATGCCTGCGCGAGAAGAGGATGATGGCGCAGATGGTTTGGACTTCCTTGGGCAGCGGGGAGGGAACCCTGGCAGGTCCGAGTCTGAAGCAGTATCAGCATCGTCGTATTCTTCGTCCGAGACGTCTTCGGCGATAGATGTAGGCCAGTCCTTCAAACTCAGCATCGCTGCTTCCTCCTCGTCGTCTCGGTTCTCACACTTTCTCTTCTTGGACATGGACATGCTCCTCAGCAGCGGCTCCGCGCCGCAGTACGCGAGGCTCTTCATCCTGCGGAACGACATGGTGACGCTGTAGTGTCCCATATCGTACGCCGAGTCCGTCTCCGGGAGAAAAGTGCTCTTGCGCGCAGAGAAAAAGGGCGAGGGGGCCGCGCCGGCATCGCGGTCGGCGGTGAAGGAGACGTAATTCGGCGCAAAGTCGACGAGGTGGCCTGCGTAGATGAGGGCCCAGTTGGCCGAGTAGGGGATGCGGGAGGCGCGGTAGAGGGAGATTGCGGCGGTGATGTTGGCGTGCTCTGGGGGGAAGGAGGAGTCTGGGAGGGAGTCTGTGAGGAAATTGATTCTGGAGGCGATGGCTTCTTCTTTGTGTGCTTGGAGCGAGTTTAGGGGTGTCAATGCCGGGTCTTGGTAAGGATCGTCTAGAAGAAGGTTGTGTGTATCTTCTCCATGCTGTTGAGCTGTGAGAGCGTCGAGTTGGGCGCGGGTTTGGTTCAGTTCTTCGAGGATGGGGCCGGCGGCTTCTGGGTTTGAGGAGAGCGTGGACTCGTGGATTGCTTCCCATTGAGAAACCAGGCGGCGCGCGGCTTCTACGACGCTGAGATTCTTGCCCAGCGGTGCGCCGATGACGAGAGGTAGCGTTTGAGGCTGTGTATGAGAAGTTTGGGGATTGTTTAGATTCTCGGCCTGCATTCGAAGACGCCATATGGCCTCGCGCTCTTGGGTTTCTAGCTCTACGCGGATCTACTCGTTAAGCTCGTGTTCGTGGGCTTCGACTGCCAAACGACGGGCAGATTCTTCCGGGCTGCACAAATCGGTCTCTTCGTGGTTGCCATCTTCGGCATGGGCTGAGTTAGACTCTAGTTGCGGGGGTTGCGAGGTGGTGGTGGGTGAGTCGCGAATGCGAGCATCCGCGTCGTTGGAGGCACCATCATCGGAGCTCTGCTTATGAGACATTGTTCTTGTTGTTAGGGAAAGGTTCCTAATGCGGGAAAAGCAGTGAGTCTTTGCTGCGTGGCTTTAGTTGCAGAAGTCTGCGAAAGATCTATCTACTATTGGAAACCATACGACTTGGAAGCTCACTACCTAGAGGGGCTACAAGAGAAAGCTGAGGCTTCTTACGTGTTCCATCCTCAGTATATGCGACCTGCCAACACTCGAATTTCTGGTCTCAAACTTCATTTCATAATTGCCGGGTTCGTAGCTTCGCAGCTTTGCGACAACATCAGGTAGCCGCCATTGCGACAGTTGCAAAACGGCCCGCGACAAAGAGACAAACCATGTCGCAAATAGAACCCCATTCTGGCGAGAGAGCACGTCCGGAACCGGCAATGCAATATTGCGTCCCGAATGCATTGTTGAAACATTGACCATCTATCCCTTTCCTCCCTCTGTAGGTTGTCTTCTTTGTTATCGCCGTTGGAGGTCTTTGTGACCACCAAGAAAGACGGCAATGACTCCTTGTGATATCCTCTTTGGGCTGGCTACAATGCGACAGATCAAATCATTGAGAGTTTCTATTAGACTCTTTGAAAATCGTAAAATGGAAGTGTTTCGCAAGTCTGAGGGGAACTTGAGTTCACTTCAACTTTCTGCTTTCCCAACCCCCCGTTCCTTTTGTCAGGTTTTCTCCCCAATGTCTCTGTCTTGCGCAAGGTGATCATTCTTCTCGAACAGCTGCCTTCCACGTAACAGCTCTTATTTACCTTGGAGCTTGGACTTCTTGCTCCTTAATTCGGCTCTATCTTCTCCCCTCATTCTTGGTTGTTCCCTTACGTTCACCGTTGTTGATTTCGCAAGTCTAACAAGAGTATTCTGAGCACAAGCAAAGGCAGCCGAAATGGCGCAAGCAAGGATGCGTAGGTGTCACCCGATGACAATATTTTACTATCCACAGTCTAATCATGCTGTAGCTGAACTGGCCGACATGGTCAGGAGGCAATATCACAGGTTCCCTTCCGATACGTGGGAAGCTACACGGCTCGCACTCGAGAACCCAGAGCCTCACCGCCTCTTTGAACACATTGAGACACTCATCTCCACACGCAAGATCGATGCCATCCTCCAGAACAATGCGGACTTTCGGGGGCTCATGGCAAGTCTGTACGGCCAACGGTATGAGTGGCTTCGAGACGTGGATCTCGGAGCCGCTCGTTGGGGGTTGAGACAAGAAGAGGGCGTCGAGGATCTCGTCGCGCAAGCCAAGACAGCCGAAGAAAACAGACAGAAATCAGAAGACCAAAAGAGAGATCTCATGCTCAGGAAGATTGTCGAAGGCGGCGGTGATCTAGATAGGTGGCTCAAGGTTTTGGGCTTCGAGGGCGTCAGCTTCTCCCGGGCCGAGATCGAAGCGGTTGCGGCAAAGATGAGAACAGAGTCTGGATCGGTGGAAGGCGAGGGCCGTCCCGGGTATGGTGTGGGAGAAGGGAGAGAGGGCATCGGAGGCCCGAATCCCACTGCATGTCTAGACGGACCCGAGGGCACCTACGGTCCTTCGACGTTCGAAGGTCAGTCAAGCCTCCTTACCGAAGAAGAGCCAGTACAGCCTGAGATGGTACCGAGAGCCCCTACCGAGGGCGGGGAGGCACCCAGGAACCCCTTTACAACGGAGTGGCGTGCTCGTGATAACCCCGGCGATTGGAAGTGGCCGCAGGTCTTTGACCCTTATTTCACCAGCAACCAATTCATCAGGAGGTCGAAGAATTACAAGCGCCCTGCACGTAGCCTTCCAGTAGATGACAAAGATGAAGAGGAGGAAGAGAAGGAGGATGACGAGGATGCCTCGGCTCAGGAAGGGGAAGAGGAGAATTCCGAGGGCGAAGTGATGACCCCGAGTGCGTTAGCTGCCTTGGCCACGACTATTCGGACGCGGACAAAGTCTAAAACGAAGACAGTAACAAGTACTCGAGGCGAAGGCTCTCAAAGTGATGCGCAAAAGAGTGACAGCAAGGATTCAAGGTCACGGGTAAGTCAAGTAAACTCAAGTAGTCCCCTCGAGAAAGAAGCTGACGCAGAAGATCAGCCACCAAAGACGAGCCGTCCGACAACCACAGAACGACTGTCTGAGGGCAATGAAGACGGCCGAGCTTCTGTCACTTTCTCGGGAGTTACAGAGTCGCCTCCAAAGCCCCAGGGCCCTGTGATAACGCCTTTCGTTGTCGACACCAGGAGGACGCCTCCGCGTGATGAAGCGACTGCCCCCTATATCACCGTCACTGACACATCGTCATCCACGCATCAGAAGCCCGCGAACCAATCTGGGCGCGGCAGTCGTCTCGTGAGAAACTCCGGCCTCGCCCCTCCCTCGACACAACCCGCTCGCATCTTCACCCCCCTGGAGAAATCTATATTCCCGAATCCGACTCTGAGTCGCCTAGCAGCGCATCAGAGGCCTCCGACGTCGATATGGTCGACCCAGAACCCGAAGATGCCGCCGCTGCGGCTGCTGATCGTGGCGACACCTCTGATAACCTCCGCTCCCAACCCTGTGATAGCCAGTGGCTCATCAATTGGCTCAAACGAGACGCCTCCACCACGGACGAGGACCTGCGCATGATCGACTACAAGGGCTGGCGCATCCACGCGCCCAAATTCCAGCTCATCCGTATCAAGAACTTCCTCGCGGACGAGGACATTGACCGCACACTCAACTGGGAGCGCAAATTTGCCGAAATTGGCGAGTTCTTACAGCACTGCATCAGGATGAGAAACGTCACGGAAAAGGACTGGTACGTCGACCTACGCGAAGCAATCTCCATGCTCCACACGCACGCAATCTTGGAAGAGCACCATTACGGCAAGAAGAAACTCGTTGTCGATTTTCCCAAAATGAGCACTACCAGCACGCGACTGCCGCCGCTGCTCGACGGGCGCGACCTCGTCATTGAGAAGAGGCCGAGAGATCCGGTGCGGCCTCGCTACCTCTTGCACCGCGTGCCCGAGTCCGTTCAGGATGTCGACTACCAGATCCCCGGACCGCTCCTACGGATGACGTTTATGAAGTGGCTCCGCGAGGACGGGAACCTCGTCTGGGCCACGAACCCGAACAGCGAGATGCCCGGCTCAGGAGAACGCGGAAAGACGTTCAACTACCAACCAGACTTCAACATGGCGCTCACGGAAGACGAGTGGTTCGACAAGTGCATGAGCGGAGGGCCCGAGACGACCTCGGACAAACTTCACGACGAGGCCAACTTTTATCTCCTCATGAATGAGTACGTCGGCGGCGAGGTCGACGAGGTTAAGCGAGACGACGGTAAAACGTACAAGATGCAGAGACACTACCCCGAAGGCGAGGCACAGCAGCGCTTCGCACGTTTTCGAGGCGCGAAGCGCGCGGCGCTGCAGCAGTGTCTCTCGCATTTCAACAGCGACGAGAACGTGGCGCTCGCGAGCCCCTTTCGCAAGCTGGTGCTACCGCCTACGAAGAGGGAAAGGGCGGCTGTGTTGGCTGATGCGAAGCGGGATATTGTGTACAAGCCGCACTCTGTCAAGGCGCCGCCGCGGGGGGTCAAGCTTGATCCGCTTGGTATCACGTACTGGCATAACCGGCTGCAGGTCACCAATCTCGATCGCGCGGATCGGTTATGGAATCAGACGCTGCGCATCCATGAGCAGATGCTAGATGACATGGGGATTCCCAAGGACACGGTTCAGCTCCCCAAACAGCTGTACAGCCCCGTCACACCTTACAACTTCATGAAGGACAGCGAGAGGGGTGTGCTGTCCTGGTTCCACCACCTGCGCACCCTCCGCGAGAAGCTGACGCGGGCGTACAAGAAAGATCCGCGGGAGATGCTCGAGGGCGTGGTCAAAAACATCGAATACGGTTTCCAGGGGCGGCCCTCGTGGGACATGGATGAGGTAATCGCTGCTCTCCGGGAGAAGAACGGCGGCAACTGCGGGCCCTTCCAAAGATTCGAGCTCCAGTGGCTGGAGTTTGTCTGCGGGCCCTCCACGACGGTCAAGGCTCAGCGGGAGGTGCTTCCGAAGCTGGGGCGCGATTTTGATGTGTTTGTCGCGCGTATGCAGGCGTTGCTGGACGAGCCGAGCCAAGCGTGTCTTTTTGCGGAGCAGGATCGGAAGTTTACGCTGCAGCAGGTAGCTATGGCTCTCAATTCTGGAATTCGCAAGGGTGATTACATCTTCAACGAGGATTGGGTGAACAAGTACAGTAAGGTACTTGCGGAGTGTGGAAGACTCGGGTAAGTCCCTTGCCCTCTGCTGAAGTCGTAGAAAAGCATGATACTAATAGAACGAAACTCTCTTAGCTACGAACGCTCAGAAACCGGCGAGGTGTCGATAAGCCGACCCAAGAACGACTGGCACCCAGAACACCGCATGAACTGGGACATCACCAACGACTGGACCAGGGAAACGAATTCAAGCAAGAATAACTACCACCGCAACAACGTCCCGGCTCCCTTCGACGCATGGGCATGGTCCTCAGCTTTCGCCCACGTGGACCAAATCAACTTTACTCGCACGCTGACGAAGGAGCTCCTCTGGGCCCTCGGCTACCGCCTCGGCGTCAGGCTCGCCGCGCTGGCCAAGAATATTCCCATACTCAACCAGCGTCTCAACCACGGCAACGACTGGGAGTATCGCAAGACGCAGCTTCAGGATATACTAGGCATGTGGAGCAGCAGCTTCAAGCGGGACAGAACGGGGGATGATGACATGGCCACGCCGCGAGTGTCATACAAGAGCGTCGTGAAGGCGGGCGACCCCGGGAAGTGGACGGAGGAGATGACGGAGGAGGAGGCGCGTGAGGTGGTGCGCAAGGGAATCATCGACGAGCTCTCGCGGGGCGACGGAACGTTATGGCCCAGTCGGCCGCGGTGGTTCCACAATCTGGAGGAAAACAAGCGCATCGTGACGCTGCACCGCGAGCGGATCTGGGATTGGGCGCTGCCCGGTGTGTGTGGGAAGAAGAAGCGGCAGTTCTTTTCGATGAATCGGTGGCCGGTGCATTTGCAGAGTAAAGAGCGACAGGAGGAAATCAGGAGGAGCGTAACGGACGAAAGGGTACGGAAGCAGGCTGAGGCGGACGAGCTGCGGACGAAGATGGTGAAGCTGGAGGCGAGCGTGATGCCCACTCCGGATGAGATTCGTCAGGGGCAGATGGAGCAGATGCTTTCAGTGCCGTATCATGTGGGCGACGACCGGAGAACGAAGTTTTTCCCTGGTGTGACGGAATATTGGGGCGGCGATACCCAGTCGCAGAGGCGGAATCTTGAGCAACGTCTGGAGACGATGCTTAATGGTGATTCTTTATCCCGACGAACATGTGGTCTCGCGCACTACTGAGATGATTTGATTACTGACTTCCTTCTTACAGAAGAGCTATATCCCAGCGACGGCATTGCGCCTCGCGGAACGGGATGGATTAGTCGCGAGACGGTCCAGACGCCCGGTAGCGAATCCCATGAGACGGTGGAGATTGATCCGGACATGGTGCCGAGAAGCATTCCGGCCCGGGTTCCCTCGGGAAGAAGAATGTCGTCGGCGGCGGGTGGGGCGGACGCGGGGGATACTCGGCCGGCGCCGGCGACGAACCGGGGTTTGTTCCCGCCGCGGCAAACACGGCGGCAGAGTGGGCGACGAGTAAGACTCAACGTCGCGGATCGGGAAGGTAGCGATTCTGAGCAGTAGGCTTGGTTGAAGTGAGGATTCCTTGTTCATTCTTTGCTGTCTTCGGCGTCCGGACGGGAGTGAATAGAGTGTGCTTTGTACTCTAAGATCCGCGTATCATTTTCCTATCACACCTTACTTGATTGGAATGTGCACTCCAACTGTGTGACATGTACTCGGGTGTCGTTAGTGAGCCTAGGTATTGAGCGAGTGTTACCACACTGCGCTATGCGGGGCCCAGATCTGTTTTCAAAGTAAGGTTATTGTCAATTGTCCGTTGAGCATGGCTTAGACTAATATCACGTTTCGGAGAGCCTTGATAATTATTTTGTCGTGCATCCGGACGACTGGCAGAGTAGGTGTACAATGGGAAACTCGCCGAGCAAGGACCGGCTCAAAAGGTCCGGTAATCTGTCAAATCTCTTACAGACCGTCGACGTTCTTGATGTCTCTTCATGGTGGAGTCTTTGAAACGCTCAGGTCCCGGTGGGCCAAAACCACACTTTTACCCCTCCGTTCGATTCGTCGATTGCTCTAGAGAATGAAGCCTCAAAATGAAATCACTCGGCCGATGGAACGTTTTCTGGATGGTATCGTAAAATTCATGCCCGTACTTATTTTGAAAAACCCGTCGGCTGCATTCAATGTTTGATCTTTATTTTCAGATCCGGAGCTAGTTTGCCCTTAGCCTTAATGTCATGCCCTGGCCAACCAACGATGCAGTGTAACACACGCAACTCCATGAAGAAATCCCGAAGCCGACACTTGTTCTTCTCATCTCCTCGCCGCCGACGTTCTCCCCATCATTCGCACATCCTCTAGTACTTCTTGCCCTCACGCAGGGTGTCCGCGTACTCCTCGAGAGGCGATCTGATGAGCTTGGTCTCCTTCCACAGGTTGGGGGTAAGGAAGCCGTAGGTGTTGGAGACGGCGGTGAAGGTGGCCTTGAGGGTGTTCTCGAGGGTCTTGGTGGAACCGGCGGAGGAAGTGTAGGCGTCCTCGACACCAGCGAGCTGGAGAAGACGCTTGACGGCGGGAGAGGCAACAAGGCCGGTACCGCGGGGGGCGGGAATGAGCTGTTGGATTCCATCTAGTCAGTTTCCCATACTTTCATGATGCGCAAATTGTAATTCGGGGTGTACATACACGGACGGTGACGGAACCGCACTTTCCAGACTCCTTGGTGGGCAGGGAGTGGGGGGCACCGAGGTTGGTTCCCCAGTATCCGCGACGGACGGGGATGACGCTAAGCTTGGCGATGATGATGGCAGCGCGGATAGCGGTAGCGACTTCCTTGGAGGTCTTGATTCCGAGACCGACGTGGCCCTCAGAGTCACCGATGAGGACGATGGCCTTGAAACGCGTGCGCTGACCGGCACGGGTCTGCTTCTGGACGGGCTTGATCTGCAATTGGGGAAAGAAAAACGACGAATTAGCATTTCCCTTCCTCTCCAAAACCAATTTGATATCCCATAGACTCCGAAGAACCCAAATCTCATCTGCATTGGGCGATTGTTGCGTCGTCGTCTGCGAAAATCGATTTCGGTTCCCGGTCGAATTGGAGTGTTGTGTGTATGCGCACCTTCATGACCTCATCCTTGAGCTTGGGCAGGAAGAAGTCGACAATCTGGTACTCCTTGATGGGCAGGGAGTGAAGGTAGATCTCCTCCATGGAGCTGATCTTGCCGGCCTTCACGAGACGACCGAGCTTGGTGACGGGCTGCCACTCCTTCTCCTCGCTCTTGCCGCCGCGACGTCCGCGACCACGGCCACGTCCACGACCACGGTCGCCGCCACGAGCTCCGAAACCACCACCTCCACGGGCGGGGGCGCTTGCACCACGGTCAGCCATTTTTGTGTCGTCGGGTAAGGGTGTTGAGCGCGCGAGTGAGAGATGACTGCTGCTGCGGTTAGTCCGGTTGCGTGGTGTTTCGAAGGGGGAGGAAGTTATTTCGAGATTCGGGTACAACTTTTTTTTGCGGGGGTCTGTGGTGGCTGTCAGGGCCGGCTGAATATTTTGCGATTGTGCTCAAGGCGGGCTCATTGGACGGGTTTGGCGAGCCCTAAGAGGGTGGCCTGAGCTTCGAGGCAGGAATTCGAGGTGAAGAGTGGGGGTTCCCACCTTGGTGTATTGCTCACCGAGTCTCACCGAGTCCCACCGGTCCTTAGCACAGTGTGTCTTGCGTCCCTGCATTTGCGCGATCTCGCAATTCCATCTCGAATGGTGTTCTTGACCTTTAAGCACGGCAGAAAAAGGCAGCCTCATCAATTGTAGACGAACACAAATTATCAAGAAGTACGCCACTCAACCGTACTCCTCACTTATATGCGCACTGCACGGCATCCAAACGCATGTTGTCCATAATCGTGATCCATTACCGTGGCCTGCTATGTACACCAGCCACCCGAACTACGTCCCTTCCAAACGACCAAAAGCCTGACGGACCTCCCCCATGCGCAATGCAAACTCCAAAGCTGTGATGTGCCGGATATCGTACATGAAAACCAGAGAAAACCAGAAGTGGGGTAGTGAGGGTATCGCAACTTGAAGCAACTCGACGCTGCACTGTCTCGCTCCATCTCTTACTCGCTCTTCCTGATGAGTGAGTCAGAAGGCTTGACCCGCTGTGCCCATTCACTGTGAAACATGTTAGCTTACGAAACGATTGAGATTTGGCGGGGAAAAATCAAACTTACGTCCAGCTTCCATCGTAGACTCTGCGCGTCTCAGGAGAGCCCAATCCAGCCTCCTCGAGAGCGGTCTCAATAACACAGGCAGTCACGCCGGTTCCGCAGCTCGACACGATGGGTTTCTCAGGGTTGACACCCTTCTCCTGGAAGATCTGCTTGAGCTTCTCCGCGGGGTAGAACGTCTTGGTCTCGGGATCCAAGACGGCTGTCATCGGGATGTTGATGGAGCCGGGCATGTGGCCGGACGACAGGCCAGGTCTCGGCTCCGGGTCGGTGCCTGCAAAACGGCCGGGGGATCGCGCATCAAGGATCTGTACGCCCTCCGCGCCCTCCTTGTTGTGGTCCAGCGCAATCTCGCGCACTTCCTCGAACTCGGCGACCTTGCCCTCATCCAGCTTGGGGATGGGGTAGGTACAGCACTCGACATTATAAAGCTCGCCAGACTCGGTAGGAAGGCCTTGCTCGACCCAGAGCTTGAAGTTGTTCAGGACGTGGACTTTGGGGTGGCCAAAAATCTTGAGGGTCCAGCCGACGCGCGGGGCGCTGAAGATACCCAACTCCTTGGTGTCGTAGACGACAACAGTGTCCTCCTTGCGGATGCCCAGCTCGCTCATGGCTGCTGCAAAGTCCTTGGCGGAAGGTAGCATGTGGGGGTACTCGCTACGGCGGTCAATGACCTTGTCGAGGTCGAAGAAACGGGCCTTGGGAATTCGCTGTTGACGGTAGACCTCAATGCCGGTGCGGCCATCGTTGGGAAGGAACCAGGAGGCGCAAAGAGGGACGGTGCGCGGCTCGGGGCTGATCTTGGAGGGAGGGTTCTTCTTGAGGGCCTCGTCGAGCTCCTTGGGGGTGACGAGGTAGGAGGAGAAGGAGCGGCGGGCGGCGAAGGCGGTGGTGGCTTGGAAAGAGCGCGCAGTGAATTGCGACAACTTGGCGCCGCGCGCGGGTCGGAAAATAGCGACGGTAACCATGTTGACTATGTCTGTGTGAATCAACTGGTTCTGGTTTGGGTGAATGATGTCAGATCAGGTTGGGAGGAATTGCCGGCTTGGGAGGAGCGGTGTCGGTCGATATCGGTCGGTGACAACGGCAAAGGGCGGGAGCCCGGAACGCTGGGCCCTTTACCTTTAGGAAGGGTTAGAGGGAAAGAGGAAAATCACCACAGATGCTTGAGCCGCAGAGGCATTGCATGTGGTGGTTTTCAGTGCGGGGTTGGAGGTAAGGTAAGGTGGAAGAGGGGAAAGCTCTGAATGAGGCTTGCCTCACAACCGTTTTTCCCTTTGGCTGATGGTTATTTGTTCTGGACGCCGCGGTCGGTGGTCACTGGTGGTGGTACCGGTGTGGTTATGGTGGTGGTGTCGGACGGGAATTTTTGGAGAAAGAGCAATGTAGTCAGGCCGCAAGGATTGGATGGGATGGGAATGGGGTACAGATACCTCGGAGCGATTATCAGAGTCGCTGGAATTCGGGGGGCGTCCACTGGTTCCCAGTCAGTGATAAGCGGGAGGAGACAGAGGAGGTCGGGGTCCGGCCGGTCACCAGTGACTCCGTTTAAGTGGGGCATCGCGACAAACCGCCTGGGAAAACGAAGCAAAAAATGACAAGGTGCGGTGACCGACTGGCTGTACGTACTCCGTAGGTGGGAACGGTTGGCGCGAATGCGGGGAGCTTGGGCCATGTCGCCATCTTTTTTTGACATGATTGACTGGCTGCAGGGCCTTGCAGACCCGCAGTTTTACAGAACCCACCTCACATGGGCAGTTGCCAGACCGCGGTGGTCCCGCCTTCCCAACTCCAACAAACAAAAGCCCCAGGGCTAAAATCACGACAACAAGATTACCACTTCATGCAAAGAAACAGAGGGTCTCATTCAAGCACACCAACTCTTTCACAACAGTATCTCTCTGAAGACACTGACGACAAACGAATCATATCCCCCAGATATCCAATCTTACCAAAACAACATCTCCAATGAAGGTCAAGATTACCCGGTGGAATACCGTCGCGACATGGCGGTGGGATATCCCCGAAGATGATGTCTGCGGTATCTGCCAAGTCCACTTTGACGGCACATGTCCAACCTGCAAATACCCTGGCGATGACTGCAGCATCCGTATGTTCTTCTCCGCCTCCCACATCGCCGTTGCGTGACTAATAACAACTAGTGTCTGGCAAGTGTGGCCACAACTTCCATATGGTAAGTGGTTGTCTTTGCTTGCTACGATGTCATTGCTAACACAGCTCAAAGCATTGCATCCTGGAGTGGATCAAGCAGGATTCAGCAAAGGGCCAATGCCCCATGTGCCGTCAAAGTAAGTTTCATCCCATTTGTTTGACGTTTGTCTTTGAGTTCTCTTTGAGTCAACTAACACACCCCAGAATTCGAGTTCACTGATCCAAAGAATGAGGCAAATGAGAGCTAGGGGTTTCTCATGGAAATGATTTGACATGGTTGGCGTTTGGCGAACTGGTTTAGAGATACCCAAGGCCCTTGTGAAGGCTCTCTTGGACTGGCGAAAAGACTTCCCTGTCCTGCTGGCCTTAACCTCCAAGCATACAGGATATAATGACACTGACAGAAAGGAGTCAAACTTCTATTGATTCCAGATCAAAAGCACATTATTAGTGGTAGTGACGAGCAAAGACTCTTTCAGCAATCACGTCTCATTCCATTGACCTGAGGCCTGACGGAAGAAAAGCATGGCTTTTTCATGACTGCGCATGCAAAGAAGTCAGAAGACCATGAAGTATCGGGGAGCAGATTGAAATGTATAATTTTCATGAAGCAGAGAATCGTTGTTGAAGAATATGCGGTTTCCTGGTCCTGTTTCTATGCCTGTTGAACTGATGTCCGAAGTTGGAGGTTCGCAATCACATGCCAGATCAGGCACCCCACCGTCACGTGGTGATAGCGATAAGATGTCCCCAGCAGCCTGGAACCGCTCCACCATGGCGTCCAACAGCTATCCAGCTAGCTCCCGTGCCACCCTGCAGCTCATCCTCGAGACCACCTCCGACCGCAGCTCCCATCTTACCCCAGGAAAAGATGCCAGTCAGCGCGACGCGAGGGACATCGTCAACACCAACACCTCGACTCCCCGCTCGCCTCGCCATCCCCAACCGCCCTGGGAATCCATCCCCTCTCGAAAGGATCACGCGACCTCGGAGGAACTCTACCGCCTGATAATGGCCGACGTCCCGACGTCCCCGCGCCCCGAGGCCGAACAGCCCGCCCAGGCGCCTTTGTCGTCGTCTTCGTCACAAGGCCAGAAACCCACCCTTGCCGGCTCGCCTCCCGACAACCAACTTGGCACCGATACAACAACGGCCATCATTCCCACGTTAGAAGCAGATGCCGCAGCTGAGAATGATACCGTTGACGAAGCCCTTCTTCCCAAACTCGACCCCGCCGGTTTCTTCACCCTCGTCTCCAACTCGTCGGCGAACACCACCCATCACCCGACCGTCAAGTACATCTTCCTAGACGATGACCCGGATACCCTCACAACCGCGCTCGCAGCGCATCACTCCTCGAACCAAATCTCGACCCCTTCGGCCTCGACCTCCAAACCCGGGCCCGGGAAGAACCCGAACCCGAACCCGAACCGAGCTGTCCTCCTCGATGTGGTCCCAGGCGAAGACGGCCAGTGGAAGGTGTCTTCTGTTGCCAGTCTCAGCGCGGACTTTGCTGTGACCGACGCCAGCATATCTCGACAGGAGGGCGAGAAGGAGGGCGGACTGGTGCTCAAGATTGACGGTGTTGAAAGCGAGGGCGCCACGACGATAATTGACAAGGAAAAAGATCGTGCTGAGAGCTTACCCAGCTCTAATAGTGCCGTCGCGAGGTCTGGCGGCGAGGAGTACGGACCGCTGCTCGAGGATTTCGAGCGCAAGATGAGCGTCCTCCGGCGGGTTGTTAAGGCTGGCGAGGATCGCGCTGAGAAGGCTCGTGAGACGAAGCCTTCTGATGCCGAGACCGAGCCGGCCGAGGAATGAGTTCGCTATTTTTGCGTCTTTTGATCGAATTTGGCTATTTACCAGCTGCATAATTGGGCCTTTGACATGGTCCACAGAGGACTCAAGACTTGTAACACCATGGTTAGAAGGTAAGGACCCACAGTACGCGGGTCTGTGTTATGAATACTGATCGGCTATAGAGATTGACAGAGGATTTGCCTATTGTCGGCTCAGACCACGGCGGCGGCGATTGAGTAGCTGGACCTTTGTACGATTCACGAATCACGAATCATGATGGGAACCCGGAGTACAGATTCTTTCCTCATCCAACTACCTCAAGAATGGCAGTAGAGATGATCTCTTTTCGAGACTGAAGTGGCCTTAGCAATCTATAGCTTGGCATAGATCGTTGACAGGCTATCCGAATACAAGATGTGTAATTAAAACTGAGCTATGTTCTCGTCCAATTGGAACTGCAATGGACTTTCTAGGGGGACCGTTGTTCCTCGACATCCTTTCCTCTTTCCCTTCTGCCTTCTGAACAAGTCATGCGCAATCAATCAATACAGTTTGTATTTGAAAATGATTCTCAGCTGTAGAAGGCGAAGGCGTGTTTGAAGCATCTCATACGCAGAAAGTAGGCACGTCTATCTTGTTGGAAGTTATCGAAGCAGTCTCCGGAAAAGCGAACATATGATGCCCCTCTGTACTGTGAGGCATATTTTTTCGGAAATCTTACCAGACTTTTGTGACATGTTATATGTTTGTTGGTTGCCTGTGCTAACGAAGATGTTTCTGCGAGTGAGTGCCCATGGTTGTAGGTACATGCTTGATCATCAAACTGAGGCAAACAAATAGCACCACCGCCGTCAGCAGCAGTAGCACAAAGTAATGCCGGATCATCGCCTGGCTCCATTCTTCAACTACCATTGCCAAGACTTCTAGCAGCACTAAGTTGTCACTATCAGTTTCAGCACTCTTGACAGTAGCCATATATCAAAGCCTCAGGTAGGAACCTAGCAGCTATAAATACAACGAGGTTGTTAGCGTTCCAAACGTCTCATCCCGACAGCGTTGTGACTCTAGCAGATCTGGCAGATTGCTCTCTCCGCATTACTAGGTATGTCTTCAGGAACACCATCCTTGGCCAGCTATGCTATCGGCACCCAAGGTTAAGCGCCACCGTACACAGACCTTGCTGCAGGAACGCATTGCGATTCGCGGTCTTCGTATGCGTTATGAGCGCTCTAACGAGAGAGCGTGACTGGCAGTGAAGGAGAGTTCAGAATAAAGTCAAAGTAGGATGAACTATTCACGGGATCTACACGTTCGGTCTTTCTTCCTCCTTCTAATATCTCAACAAAGAAGCTTCTCTTTCCGCGCTACTCACCTCAAGATCTCTAATTGTCTCAACAGTCATCGAGTTGATAGATCCCAGTCTGCTCAACTTTCTACATACGTTTTCAGTATTGCCGGTAACTTCCTCCATTGGCCAAGACTGCTCAATCCTGAAAAAAGCTCCAATACTACTCCCATAGAAACCCGCCATCTCTCCTCCACAACCCAGCAGGATCATACCGCCTCTGCACCTCCCGCAAAAACCGCCTATTCTCCTCCCCATAACTCGCCTGCACAGGCTGACTCAAAAGCGCATAATTCATATACCGCGGATTCGTCCTATAAAATGCCGCCTTCTCCACAGACACCGCCCCGTCCCCTTGTACAGCATTCGAACTCCTCGCCCCCGGCGCAAACGACGTCGCCAAGCGGTCTCCGTCCGCGCTTATACTTTCAACAAACCCGAACATTCTCTCGTCGTCCTTGGCCTCCGCCCAGGCAAGCGTGTAATCAATCCAAGCGGCGTCCCCGGCGTCCGCTTCGAGACCCATGACGTTCTTGACGCTGGCTATGCGGTCGCCGGCGCGAGTGACGGCTGCGGGTACGGGGACCAAAGCCATGGAGAAGATGCGGGCTTGGTCGCCTGCTGCTGTGGCGTTGGCTTTGTCGCGGAAGGCTTGCCATTGTTGAAAGTAGAGGTCCGCGCCCTGTTGTCCTTCAAGGTTGGGGAACGTGTGGCCGCCGATGAGCCAGCGCTTGAGGGGTAAGTTGCCGTTGTTGTTGGAGGTGATGAGGGCGGAAAAGTTCTGCGTGGTGGTGCTGTCTGCCGTGGGTTTGGCCGCGTAGAAGCCGGCAAAGGGGCTCGCATCACCCGCGGGCGGCGAAGACGCATTGTAGAACACGTATACGTTAAGGAAGTCCAGTTGCGGGTTCGCACCGCCTCCCATGCTGAGATAGATGTGCGACTGGGGGTCATATTTAGCACTAAACGTTTGCGTGGCAGCAAAGACTTCCTTGGCCTTGTCGAGTGAAAAAGTCAGGATGCCGGCCCAGACCTGGTTGGCGAGCGGATACGTCTTGAGACTGAACCGCGTCACGATGCCAAACTGGTTCCCACCGCCCTTGAGAGCGCGAAAGAGGTCCGGCTCCGAGGCCAGGTTGGCGTTGACGACCGTGCCATCGGCGAGCACGACCTCGTAGTTGAGGACATTATCGCACGCCATGCCGTGGAGTCCGCTGAAGTAACTCATGCCTCCGCCGAGGAGCAAACCGCCGACGCCAATGGAGGCGAAGCGGCCCCCGATGACGGTCACGCCCTGGGGCTCGAGGGCCTTGTACACGTCGACCCAGCGGGCGCCGGAGCCGACGAGCGCGTAGCTCTTGTCCGGCAGGTTTTGGACCTCGTTGATGGCATCCATTGCGAGGAGGACGCCACCGTCGGTGCTAGACCATCCTGGAGAAGAGCCGTGGCCGCCGCTCTTGATGGCGAGTTTGACGTCGTTGCCGCAGGTCGAGAGCACTTTTACTATGGAGGCCACCTCCTCGGTGGTTCTGGGTCGTGCGATGCAGGCTGGGCTTAGGCCTCCAGCCGTTTGACTCCAGTAGCTGTCCCGAATCGACTGGTAGTCTGTCGTGTTTGGGGCCGCGAATACTTCAGGCGGCAGCGTGGAGGCGAGGATCACGCATGCTTCGGCGGGCGAGGAGCATGAGTAGCCTTCTACTGCGAGAGGGGAGAATGATAAAAGGCCGCCTAATAGGGCCCTGGTGAACTGTTGCATCGAGTAAGAGTTATTTAGCATGACTAAGAATCAAATGCTGTGTGTGATTTTGTGAAGACGGTGTTGACTTGTAAGAACGTTGATCGCTCACATGTGTTCACAGTTTGTGCGACATTGGCGAGAATTTGGAAGCTTTCAAGTGCTTTTCATCTTCACCGGCTTCCCCGGACGTCCAGAAAGACTTCTTCGGTAGAATAGAGTTCCGCATATAAGATTGCCCAGTGTGACTTTGGGGCGGCACTTGATTGGAGGTATCCCACCGGCCCTGCAGTGCTGTACAATGGTTTGCGCCCGAGGGAAGTACGAGGTCTTCGGATATGACGTTGACGATCCGGAATGGGACAGCAAAGAAGGCCGGTATTATGTACATAATCCATCGCGAGATGCTAAATCGATTCCTAATTTTGGCAGGTCAATTCAATTGCGTCAATGGCCAGCTTGAAGATGTTGAAATGGTGGAAATCATCAGAATTAGCTGGCTACTGTCATCTTGTCGAGGGAGGCTGTTAGCTAGAACACCAAGAGCTTGCTTAGTTGGATAAATTGCAGAGCTAGGTTATTATCAAGATGTTTTCAATTCCTACAGGCTTAGTTGGCTCAATTCGCAAGCCGCCTTCTACCTCTCTACTGCTCAGGTCTTATGGAGGATTTCTGAGACCTCAAGTGACAAGGGTTCAGAAGATCATGGATGTAGTACAAGCGTAAGAGAAGCCAATAGTGGGCTGTAACCTGCAGGCCATCCTAGTAGCTGCCTGTGAATAATACACCATTAGCTGCGTGGCCTTTTCCATGGGCTTGGAAACAATCCCAAGATATGAACCTTTGTAGTCATCGCAGTAAATCATGCCCTGGACGGAGGCAAGTGCTCTTTAGTCGTTTTTACGATATCTGTGATAGAAATGTCCGGGATGACTTGATTACACACAATATCTGAAGCTTGAGTTGCACATGTTAGAGAAGGAAAGCAATTTGGCAGGAAAAGAACATTGATTTAACCCGGTATTCGCACTCTGTGAACCTGAATAATCACCACAATGGTGAAACCACTATATATACACAGGACTGCGGATAATCTATCTATGAGTAGCATGTTGTCTACTCATCGAGTGGCTGAGAGCTGAACCATGACTATGAAGTGACAAGCTATTTGCTTTCCATCTCGCCATAGCCTTTCGGTACCGTATGGCCACTTCAGATCAACTCAAGCGGGTTCGTCCTATTCGCAGGCGGCGCAACCTGCAAAGCATCCCAGTGCTCAGCAATACAACTCCCCTCGAACCGCCAAATATCAACAGCAACAGTGTACCGCCCCATCCCCGGGCCCTCCACCTTGACATGGCTCCACCCGACGTTATCCGCAAACCCAGTGTTGGTAATCGTCACGTTCCACTCGGCAATAAGCGGCGCGACCCAGGCCAAGCTCGCGTCGCGGTCGCCGTTGACGTTGGGGTTGTGATTGATCGCGTCGAGGAGGATGTGTTCCCTCCCCGCGCGGTAGACGTCCTTTTCGAGGTAGAACTTGCGGAGGAAGTTTGTAAAGATGATGGATTGCTCGGCCGGGGAGACGGGGTAGCCTGGGTTGCAGGTGTAGGATGGGACGGTGGTCTCCGAACCTGGGGCGGAGGCGTTGGTGTTTGCTTGGGCGTTCGTTGTAGGGAGGGAGAGGAGCTGGAGGGCTGCGAGGGCGGAGAGCTTTGTGAAGAGCATGTTGGGCGGGGGGCTTTGGGGGTTGAGTAGTTGAGTTTGAGGGGACGAAGAGAAGGAGCTTTGATGATGAGATGAACTGAAGGCTGATGGTGAAGATGTTTGATCTGGGTAAATGAACTCTTGAAACACGGAAATCAAAGAGCTTATAACTTGTATGCCTTTTTTGCAATATGCAGGCCTTCAGGTCACGATGGCTTCAACTCTTGGCAAGTTGTCGAGTTTGTAAGCAGACTGCAATCTTCCCAAGATTGATTACTTTGCTTTGAAATCCAAGCAATCTCAGAGACAATATGCCTCCAGTGTGAGCGTGAGCGTACATCGTTTTCCCTATTACCCAACCCTCGTAACGTGGGGAGAGTCTCAGCCATGAACCTCGCGGTCTGGTCTTGGCACATCTAAGAAGGGAAGTCGGTACAGTTAAATTGATTAAATGTGGCTTCCAAAATCACGGGTCTTGCTGCTGGGTTGCCTCAATGCTCGCCATCTCACGAATTACAGTGCAGTCTTCTTCGTCTCCGAGTCTCTGGGAGGGCCTGAGAGGTTTAGAACTTACAAGTCGTGGCGAAGCAACCGCGCGCGCGTGACGCAACGGCAAAGAGAGCGTAATTGTGGACCCAAGGAAAGGGCCAATGTCTAAGGATTGAATCGTACTGCGTAGTCAACGACTACTATGGAGATATCACGCATATCTTTTCAGGGAACATGGCCTTCCCCACCACTGTCCAAACGAGGACTGTACATATGGAAAGGCGCTTTAGAGATACTGAATCTAGGACATAGACAATAGAAGCATCTCTGAAGGTCCCTTGGTCCGCGGGTTGTACGACACAACATAAGAACCGCCATTAAGTATCGGGCATCTGACTTGTTCAATGGGTACAAGAACCAGACCATACCTACACTTTAAACTCAAAATTACTTTGGCCAGTAGACACCCTAAGTGCAACATGTTATTAGCCGCGCGGTATTAAAAGTGGCAGGGAATGAAGGCCTTACTTAACAGAATACAAATTACGAATACTAACTCTGCAATGTAATCTGTGATATTACCTTAGAGGAACAATACACGACATGCTGGCTATGTCTTGCGCTAGCTACCGTTACCCTTAAAGTTAATTCAGCACGGGCCAGCCAAAAAAATGGCAAGTTTGACTGTTGACCAGTCAGCGAGAGGAATTTTTAAACTATCTGTCGGATTGGAAGTCCAATTCGACCTCGAGGCAAGGGGCCCGCGCAGGGGCCACTTACAGACCATACTTACAAGATCTACGGTCTACCTAACCTCCGGTTAGAACCTCCTTTTTATACCTTACGCAGAAGTTAAATATATATAGATTTTAACCTCTTCATTACCTACGGTTCGAACCATCCTTATAATAGGAATACTAATACTAATTAATAGTTAAATCCTATTATCGCAGATCAATAAAGTATTTTACAAGCAAAAGAAACGACCTCCTTAAATAGAACGCAATAAGAGAATCATGCTACCTACCCGACGGAAAGTAGGTAACAAGATATAAATCTCTATAACGGAACGAAGTAGAGGAATCGTAGCCCTTAACTACCTATAAAAGATCGATATTTATTATATTAAAAATAAACCGTAATTAAAGGAATTACGAAAAGGCGACTAAACTACCTACGTCGCCCTTACGTAATTTGTCCTACTTAACAATCTATAAGCGGCCCGTATACTAATAAAAGAAAATAAGCAAAATTATTAGATTTGCTAAATTAGTAAATCTATTATAGATCTTAACTATACGATAAAATAGGCCTAATTAGAGGATATAAAAAGGTACCTTAGGACTATAAAAATAAACTTTTAAAGTAATAAGGTATTTAGGTAAGAACCAGACCCCGCCGGTAATTCTAGGCGTATTTCTTAATCAAATCTAAAGAAGCTACTAGGATCGATAGCGATATTACTATTATTAAGACCGACTTCAAGATTTTAAAGTTAAGCTTCTCCTTTTTATTTATATCTACTACCCCTCGGTTATTCCAAAGGAATAAAAGCTAGGCGGAGTTAAGATAAAGAAAAAAGGGATTTAAAAGCATCATAACGCTCACTCTATAAAGGGGTATAAGGTACCTAATTCTTTAAACTATATATCCTCACTAAACTATAAAGGTAAAAAAAAAGCTTATTATCTTAATTAATACGGGAAAAAGCTAAAAAAACGTTTAAAAAAAGAATATAAAAAAAGGGCTACCGGAAGACCTCTCTTATATAATAAAGTACGCTATAGAAAAAAAAAACCGTTAATAAGAAATATAACGGCCAATTTAAAAAACTAAAAATAAATAATAACAAGGCTTACCGTAAAGAGGTTAAAGGCCGTAAAAAGCTCCTAAACCCTAATAAATATAGCAAGTAACAATAATATACTACTACTATAATTAATAAACGGATCTAATATATCCCTATTAAAATTAAACACGCCGGCCCTTATAAATAAAAATATAAACTAAAGAACGATAAGGGGCAAGTTAGCATATAGAATACGCAAAAGGACTCCCATTCTAAAAGATTAAGTTAAAATTAATCCAGAATACTAAGGGAAATAATTATATCGAGACTTAAACCACCCTAATAACAAATAAATTAATATAGCATTAATCTTTATTATAAAGATATACGCCCGCAAGGGGCTCAAAAAATAACCCCTATTCTATAGAATCGTAAACGACCTAGGCAACTAAAAAAATAAATAGTTTACCAGTATTAATCCCGGTATCATTAAAGAGGTAAATAGATTCTTCTACTACTAAGGCATTCTACTAGCCCAAGGGGTAAAATAAAAGGCCTATAAAATACTCGCAACGACAATAGCCATAAAGGACTTTACGCCATAGGACCAGAATTAAATCGATAAAGCAATATTAAAATATAAAAAATTCAATAAACAAATGAACTAACCGGACTTTCTACTAAAGATTACTAACAGTAACATTACGGCGCCTAATCTAATATAGACAAAGGGGATCACACCGGAGGTATATTAAATAACGATTCCGCCTATTATAATAACGACCCTAACGATAATACTAATCTAAAGATTAATCCTAAGCACTTAATAAAATATAAGGTTAATAATATAAACACTACCTAATTATACTACCGCACAAAAAGTACGTAAAAAGAACGATCTAGCAGTAGCTAGTATAAGACAGTTCATTAACCTAAAAAAGATCTTTTTAAAAAAGAAATTATATTTAGGGGGGAAATATAAGGTCCTATAAGAAACCCTTACGATATTCTATAACTACTATAAAAAAGTCAACATCTAAAAACACCAATATCATTTAATAATTAATATCATATTAATAAAGAAAACTACCGAATATTATTATTAAACAGTACATAATATTAATCAAACCGACTTTCTTAATATCGTTAATATAATCCAAAATCGATTTAAGACCCAAGATAGGAGCCTCGAGCTCTTCTCGGAGCTAAGGATATTATTATTTAGCTCTATAGCCAGAACAATAGAAGGAAAGTCAAGAATTAAGATCCTTAAGGAGCTTATTAATAAGATCGATAAATTAATAAGGACGTAGCTAAATAAAGGGACTAATAAGTAAAAAGTTAGTTATCTATATACGGCGGTATAAAAGGTACTAAAAGTAAAAATAACTCTATATTAACCGCCTAAAGATTATAAGACGCTATGCTCGAGGCTAAGGTCTAGCTTTAATATTAAAACTAGGATACTAAATTAAACTTACCTCCAATCTTATAAAGGCCCTTACTAATAACATTAAATAGACCGCACGTATAATAGTAAAAGAAGAAAGGTAAAGTATAGCAACTACTAGGGGGAAGGAATAGACTCCTTAAGGGGGCGCTAGTCTAATACTAACCGAGTACTACAGAAAGGGAAATACTTTATATATAAAAAAGAGGGTTATTAATTAAGTAACTACTCTAATAAAAAATACGCCAAGTTATACAACTAATATAGAAAAGCAAAAAGCACATAAAGTAAAACGGGCCATAATCAATTTAACCAATTCTTAATAATCTATAAGGACTATCTAATAAATATAATTAAGTCGTTTAAAAGCAAAAAAGATCTTACCCCGTATACTTAAGACCTCAATTTTAACAAAGTTAACGATATTACCTATTCTTTCTTCGCCCTATTAACTTTAAAAAAATATATAATACTAAACAAATAGAGAACAATATAAGCCCTAAATAAGTAGGCTTTTCTCTATAATTAATAAGAGAAGGTCCCTTAACCAACAACAACGCTTAATAGCACAGGGGACACAAATACTAATACCATAGCCATAGTTTACACTAAGGTCAAAGGGCCTAAAAAGGAAAAGAGAACAATAGGCTTATAAATACGCAATTTATACCTACTAAAAGGGTTCTATAATAATCCAGTACAAGTATTCTATACTAGCAAAAAATATAACTCGGAAACCTTCTACAGGATTATTCTAAATACCGGGGTATTATAATAGTCGACGGGGGGCAAAGGATAATTCCACGCACTTTAAAAGATCTTACTAATAACCCTTAATACTATAAACGCAGGTATTACAAGGATTAATTTCGGCCTAAAGGAAGAAATAAATACTTTAGGTACTATAAATATAAATATACGATTCGGAACGATGATTTTCCATATTCTACCTATTAATACACTATTCCTCCTATACCTAAACGATATAGATAAATTAAGCATTATATTTAACAACATAAAAAATAAAATATCTAATAGAAAGCACTCTAAGCTCGTCGATCGACAATAAGGGCACGCATTTATAAAGCTTAAACTAGACGTTAAGTCTATTAATTACTTAATAAAAAATAAACTCAAGCGACTATATCGACAATTTAACTATCCGTTAGCGACGAAATTATATAATCTCCTTAAATATTTAAGGAACGATATAAAAATAAGGGCTCTAGAATAATTAACGATGGTATACTACTAGTGCCAAATAAACACCTAGAGCCCACACAGATTCAAGTT